GTTATGAGGGGTTTACAGAAATGCACATATATGCTGAGAGGGGGCCTGATCCCATTGAAATTGTGTCCCCGGAAGGAAAATTACTGTACAAGAGAGTGACTGGTGATGGCGTACTTGCATTTCCATATCATGATGGCTAGCAGGTTGAGATTAGTTCGTCCTCAGCTGTTAAAGGCAGGGATGAAATTGACCCTTTAGTAATTGGGAGTGAGGACAATAATGACAATCCACACATTAACTGTAGAGCAAAGGACATCTGTGAAGAAGAGTCATCACAAATGGAGTCGGATCCAGCTTTTGTGGGACCACATAGAGAGAAGATACATGATTCTGGTAACAAGTCCAAGAGAAAGAAGACAACAAATGATAAAAAAGCTAAGTCGCAAAGAGTAAAGTTAAGTGCAAGGAAGTCAGTCAGGCAGTTATTTAAAGACAAAGAAGACGGTGATACATTCTCAGAGCCTCAGCAGTCTCCTATAAGGAAGTCAACAGAAGAAACAACACAAGCAGAGAGAGATCCAACATCAGAGCAGACTGATTATATGGGAGAACCAACAACACATGCAGAGAGAGATTCAACAGAAGAGCAGACTGATTGTAGGGGAGAAAGAACAGTTCATGAAGGCGGAGAAGAAGATGAAGTCATACCAAATTATTCAGATCTTCCTGACTGGCTAAGAGAAACAGTAGACCTGCCTAAAGATGATGACATATTTGCAGGTTTACATGGTCAAGGATCAACACAGGCATCTATAAATGTTGGATCTACAAATTCGGTTGGTATTGGTTCAAAGCAGCAACAAGAAAATCAGCAAGCAAAAGCATCAAAACAAGCTGATTTAAATGAAAATCAACAGCAACAAGAAAATCAGCAACCAAAAGATACACCAGAAGCTAATTTGGGACAACATAAGCAGCAAACCCAATTCAAAAAATAACATGAAGATTCAAGAAGTCAGCCAAAATCAGGGAGGGATGATAGATGTCATGCCAATGAGCAGGAAGAGGACTGGAATGAAGCATTAGAGGATGATGAAAACCTGTTTGACAGAGGAATAAGATCTGATGATGAAAGCATCCCTATCTACAGTTACTTCAATGCGGATGAAGAGTTTAGGAAAGAGCACTTTGAACTAAAGGTTGGCCATAAATTTACTAGCTTCTATAAGTTTAGAGAGGCTTTGGTGGAATGGGAAATTAGAGAGGGATATGAGCACAACTACATCAGAAATAAAGGCTCTCGAATCACAGATAAATGTGCAAAAGGGTGCAGTTGGAGAATTCATGCAAGCAGAATCCAGAAAACAAAGACATTTATGATCAAAACTCTTAAAGGAGAGCACCATTATGACAGGGATTACAACAATCGATATGCCGCTTCAACATATCTGAGTAATAAATTTCAACCTAAAGTGAGGGATGATCCTGGATGTAGTATTCCTGGCATAATGAATGAGACAAGAAGATTATTTATGCTAGACATTAGTCAAAAAATAGCTGCCAGAACAAAGCAAAAAGTATTAGAGGCACTTAGGGGCAATGACATGGAGCAATACCACAGACTTTGGGATTATGTAGCTACTATTAAAAATTCCAATCCTGATAGTCATATTTCATTGCAAATTGATAGGAAAAATGTTGAGAAAAGAGCTACATTTCAGAGGATATATTATGGTTTAGGTGCTTTGAAAAATGGTTTCCTAGAAGGATGTAAACCTATCATAGGACTAGATGGCTGCTTCCTCAAGAGTCCCTTTGGAGGTCAACTGCTTACAGCCTTGGGTAGGGATGCCAATGAAAATATGTTTCCTATTTCCTTTGCTGTTGTTGAGGTAGAGAATTACGATAGTTGGAGTTGGTTTTTGCGGGAATTAATCAGCCAAATTGGAAGAGGAAACAAAGGAGTGGCTTACACTTTCATTTCGGATAGCAAAAGGGTCTTATCCATGCAATTGAAGAATTGTTTCCTGAATCAGAGGACAGATTCTGTTTGAAACATATGTTTGAGAACTCCAAACAAAGATTCAAGAATCAAGACTTTAGAGACATGTTTTAGGAAGTTGCTGCAGCAGCAAGCATGCCGGAGCATGAAACTGCCATAGCAAATCTTGTAAGGGCTGACCCACAGGAAAGTGACAAGCTAACAGCTGCAGGATAGTTCAAATGGTTGCCTCCAAAATTATGGTCCATAGCTCATTTTAGTACAGCTTGTAGGAGTGACACTTGCGTTAACAACATGAGTGAGTCATGGAATAATTATATTCTAAAAGCTAGAGGGGAGCCAATAATTTCAATGCTGGAGTGGATTCGGAGAAGATTAATGAAAAGGTTGGTAACCAAACGATAGGGCATGCTGAAACATGGTGGCACTTTATGTCCAAACATTTATGAGAAGTTAGAGAAGTTTAAGATAAAGGCAAGAAATTGTGTTGCGGTTTATGAAGGAAATGGGAATTTGGAAGTTGATGGCTATGGAAGGACAAATATTGTCAATTTGGAGATGAAAACATGTACCTGTGGTCATTTTCAGTTTAGTGGCATTCCTTGCGTGCATGCGGTTGCCTGCATTCAGAGTAGAAAGTTGAAATTTGAGGACTATGTTGATGCTTGTTACCATAGGGAGGCATATTTAAGGGCCTACAACTTCACAATTGGTCCCGTTCCTTCGAAGCAGTTCTGGGTAGATAGCAAAATGCAATATTTGAACCCACCATTGGTGAAAAAATAGCCTGGTAGGCCAAAAAAATGGAGGAAGAAGGGCCCAGAAGAGCCCACAAATCAACAGAAAGCAAGTAGGAAAGGTCTTGCAGTTTACTGTCGGAGGTGTTTGAAATCTGGACATAACATACGAACTTGCAAATCAGGGATTCACCCTAAGTCTAAACTTTACAAAGTAATGTAACATTTTACATTCTACTGTCACTATGGTTTAGTGTGTTTTGTTGCTACTTATATACTCATTAATTTCGATTTGAACTATAGGCACCTAAAGTTGGTCCAACAACTTCAAATGCAGCATCTGTAGCTTCTGCAACTCAGGCTAGTGTCTCAAGTACTATTGCTATTACACTTTCACAGGTACTAAAAAGTAATTATCTATTTTTGGGTGCTGGAATATACTTACATACATACTAACCGTGAGAACTTACATACAGGAGCCAAATCAACCTATAAGTGGTACCAACCAAGAAAGCCATCAAAGTAGATCCTCAAAGAGAAAGCAACTAGCTGCAACTGCAAGGATGTCAAGGCTGCGACATTGTGGCTCTAAGAGACCAAGAAAATGAACTGCTATTTTTTCGATTTTATTGGTTGAATGTACTGGTTATGCCAAGTAGAATATGTCGATTTTATTGGTTGAATGTACTGATACCATTATGGTATGGAGTTGCAATATTTTTCATTGTACTCAGATTTTTGGCTGTCTTTTTGTTGACTGATACTCTTATGGGTATTGTACTCAGATTTTTTGGCTATGGTTTGGTTGATTTTGCCTATCTTTTGGGGTACTGATACCATTATGAATTTTTTGTCTCAGATTTTTTGGCTATGTTTTGGTTGATTGTGGTTATCTTTTCGTTGACTGATGCCATTGTGGTATTGTACTCAGATTTGATGGCTATGTTTTAGTTAATTGTGACATTTGTGATTGTATTGCTCTGCTGGTGAACCTTTTGGCTATGTTATGGTCGGATACCATTGTGGTATGATTGTGATAATATGTTATGGATGGCAATATTACTAGCCACATCTTTGATGATTTATCATATCTAGTTGTGGTAATATGGATGGCAATATTATTGGCCATATCTTTGCTGAAAATGATTAAATCTGTCAAGTGTCCTGAATAATAATTGCTGGTTATATCTTTGCATTTGATGACTTAATCTAACAACTTCATTGCATTTAAATGGGTATTTCAGGGTCTTTTCAATGTCCTGAATAAAAGTAGGTTTTTTCAATGTTTTTAACAAAAGCAGCTTCATTCACTCATTTATAATTGAATCATGAAAATCAACTCTAGATTGAAACCAGGATGTGGTTTTTGCACTACAATTTGTCCCAACTCCAAATTCTATTACACTACTTTTACATTACAAATTTTGCCCAAACTTCATCTCATACATATAACGACCAGTGACAAAAGAGACACAAGTACAGTCAGCATCATCATCTTCTTCATCAGCCCCATCGTTGCTTCGACATTGTGAATCTTCGATTGTAATCCCATAATGATGTTATAGTTATTACTTTTCATTCCTTGCTCAGACATGATAAATCTTTCCGCTGTTGCAGGTCCAATTGGTGAAACCCCTTCAACGTATGGACTTTGGCAGGATGATTCATTCGTGCCTCTCTCTCTACTAATTGGGTTGCATCATGCCCAAAATGAAAAAGCACCAGTTTCACATACATAATACAATATACCTTTTGATGATTTTTCAGATTCAACTACCTTAATCTTTGCTTTATTGTTGCAGAAGTATCGCCGGTTTTGGTACCTTAGGTCCCTCGATCCACCGCCAAAATTTTGGGAGCTTGAAATTTTTTGGTTCTCCCTTGAAATGATAGCTGATTTAGCCCTTCCAAAGCTCTTTTTTTCCCATCCAAAGCTGCGTTGCTCTTTACGTTTTTGGGTCTTCGTTTTGCATCTCTCTATCGAATTTTCTCATTTGCAGAACAACAATTATGATGGGTTTCATTTCTAAGAGACATGGAGGGCAAAATTGGAATGAAACGAGTTTCTTCTAGCCACAAGTTACCATTAAGTCGCGTCAATATCACTCGCTAGCTTCCCAACCGGTCAGCAGGTAAAATCTAAAGAAGTCCAAAGCACAGGGGGTTAAGTGGGTGTTTCTAAACAATGAGGAGGTTTCGTGTCAATTTCCTTAACCATAGGGGAGTTTTATGTATTTTACCCCAATAAAATCCATGTTCGGGTTGCCTCCCAAAAGAGCGCCATTTTTTAATGTTTTTACTAGACATAGCCCAAGATTTGTTTAAACTAAGCGAATTCGGTCTTCCAGTTTCACCATCTTCACCCGTTCAACCGGAAACTCTTCATGATACGGTTTGAAACGGTGGCCATTCACTACAAATTTCTTCTCCATTTTCATACTCTGGATCTCTATTGCACCATAATGAAAGACATTAGTCATAACAAAAGGACCAATCCAATAAGAACGTAATTTATCTCGAAATATCTTCAATTTTGAGTGGTACAGTAGAACTTTTTGCCCGCACACAAATGTCTTCCTAGAAATCTGTTGGTCATGAAATATCTTATTATTCTCCTTATCAATCACCGCGTTCTCGTATGTTTCATTTCGAATCTCCTCCAATTCTTGTAATTGCAACTTTCTTTGAATTCTGCCCTCCTTGATATTCATATTGCATTGCTTGACCGCCCAAAACACTCTATGCTCGAACTCGACCGGGAGGTGACATGGTTTCCCAAATACCAACCGGTAAGGGGACATTTCAATGGGTGTCTTGTACGCCGTCCTATATGCCCATAGTGCATCGTCCAATGGGATCCTCCTCCTCATCATCAGGAATCACCTCAGCAGCGTCCTCAACCAATCTAGTAGCATCAACCAGGATCTCGGAAGCCCGAGTACGGATATCCCGTCCTAGCCTAGTAAGTCGAGCCCTAGTATCCCGAAGCTCCTCATTAACCACTGTAGATGTGGCTACCTCACCCTCCAGCACCTCCTCGAGCTCGGCAATCCGCTCACCCTGAGCGCTAACCATCTGCCTAAGCGCGTCTACCTCAGCCTGTAGATCGCGGTTGGCATCCACCAACTGACGACGCTCGTCGTCCAAAGCAAGCACTAAATGGTTCGGGTAGGCGAAAGTCAACCTACACGAACATCGAGGGTATCTATCATACGGTGAGTAGCGTACTCGATCTCCTCCCTCTAGAGCTCGGTAGAAGATAGTCCTAAGAGGCTCGTAATGACCATTCGCATGGCCATTCCCATTAGCTGCCGGGGCTCCGTTTCCATCAGCCATCCCTGCAAAATAATAACAATAATAATATTTTTCAGGTTAGAAACTTAAATCACTACTCAGTTCCAATATCCTGCAATGCATGCCTATCTTAATCGTTGGTTCATCCCATTCGTCACTTGAGGTAGGACTAACTTAGTTGCTAGTTCGCCTCAAGTATCACTTAGGGTAGGATTAAGTCATCCCATATCGAGTCTTAAAGGTAGAGTATCTAATATGTCTCCCATATAGACCTCTAACCTAGTGCTCTGATACCAACTGTGACGTCCCACATCTCCCTAAGGCGGACCAAAGGGTATCCGCGGACGCCTGCTCAGCTCACGCCAGGACTCAAGCAATTCTATTCAATCTCAAACCGAACTAAACACTTCGATGAGAGCAACATGAATACAATAATGCGGAAGCGTTCAAGCTTAACAAGTCACTTAATGTATAACCAGTACATCGGGTAATCATAAAACGACTTAAATTCAAAGTACACGTCAGGGCCCAAACTTTTCAAGTTTACAATTTCCAAAAGTACAACCCAAACCAGGGCCTAGTCAAAATATATAACAGGAGTCTTAACACAAGTACAACGGATGGTTTCTCCATATTTCTCCAAGATTCGGTCCTGTTAAGGAAAACAAAACTATAGGGTGAGCTAAACGCTCGTGGGGCCAAGAACACACATGCAAGCACTTAGTCAAATAACAATCCCAAATTTAAATAAATAAAACCATGTCTTTTCAATAATCAATCATTCAAACAGGAAACGTAATCAGAAACAATTCAAGGATATAGTAGCTCTCAGGAGCTAAGTTCCACTCGATCTGCCGATGTCATTCGTATACCTTCCCGCATTGACCCTCCTGTCAACCGGGTCGGTATTTCCATTTCCGTAGATCACCACTTACTTCCCTCCGTCCACCGTACACCCCAAGGGCCCACAAGTCTATTATAAGGCGATACTCTACGAGTATGCCAAGCAAGACCTCTCATTAGGTCGAGCTTATATATATCTCATGGCTCGCCCAAATCCCCGACCAAGCCCATTGCTGGCTCGAGTCTAAGGACGGCCTATGAGTTTGGGCGTCCCCCATTCATTTGAAAGTCGAGGAGGTTCACTCCAACGACACAAGCATTCATGACATAACATTGCATTTCATTCATTCATTCAATACATTTCATTCATTCATTTGAAATTAGAACGAGTGCGATAAAGTACGCACCCGCCCTTATTTTTAAAACTTCCAACAATTACCACAAATAAGCAAGTATCAAATTTCACACACTTGACACTCACCGCAATTCAATAAGAATTATTTTCTGGGAGTTCAAGTGTCCACCGTGAGATCCTCTTGAATGTCTCCTTGTGCGCCTGGCAATTAACAGTGGATAATCACACAATTAACCCACTTATCAAGAAGATTGTACACTAGTACAGTCTAAGGATTATTTCGCAAAAAGGAACCTCAATTACACGTAAATCGAGGTTCAACTTGCCTTTTATTATGTACAATATTATTTGAGTTTTTATCATGAAAATCATGAGCAAAACGTTTAAAAATATTAAAAGAATAAAGAGTTCTTGAAAAACTCTATTTCTTTGAGATTGGAAAATTTTCAGTTTTATGATGAATCTTTGAAAAATCATAACTCGCTCGGTATAAGTCGAGAATTGGAAAACTTTGTACCGTTGGAAACCTCTTAGAAAGTGCTATAAGTTCCTAGAAGACACTTTTCTATGAATCGAAGTGAAAAGTGTTCAAAAATGAGCTTGAAGAGGCAGGGTTGGTTTACATGGCAGAATGAAGTTGGATTTCGGCCAACTTTGGAAATTCGGCACGATTCACACGTTGCAAACCGGCCTCTGAAATTTGCAGCTCAACTAGTGTTACAAGTGAGGTTTATAACAAAACAAGCGGATCAAGAATCGGAGTTTCGAGTACCGAGATACGGTAGCCCGAAGTTTGGGAAACTCAAGACTGGAGAAGAATTTCCAGATTTGAACCTCCAACATGAGGAATTTAATTGGGTATCGAAACGAACTTGGATTGGTACCAAAATTGGCAGTATTTTATTCCCATATGAAAGGTACCGCTCTATCAAGTTTCAGGGAAAAATACCTTCGGTAAGATAGTTAATTAGTCAACCAAAGTTCAGGAAAATTATAAGGCAATCTGCCTTGAGACTTTCATTACCCATTTCAAAACGTTTAATCAAGCAAACTATCCAATCATGGTTCATTTGTGAAATAAAGGCCTAAGAAACATCCATAATGCCTTTGGTAAGTGTTTAGTATCAAGAACATCAATTAGCAAGTTCACTCCGAGATCTTGTTCCAAACCAGTCCAACATTAGGGTTTTTCCAAAACAGAGCAGTTCACTTGTTTTGGTCACAATTCAATCAATATAACTCGAAATCCAGCATGGCTTACGCCGTTGGAAAATACATTCGTAGGGTTAAAATATCACAGAAGAAATCGTTCCCAAATTCGGCACCCATCTGGTTCAAAATCGGGCGTCAATTTGCTGCCTGAACACTTCATTCCAGATGAACAGAGAAACAGGACAGCGAACTTAAAACATTTGGTTCGGCTTGCTCACAAAGAATCAGAACGTACATTATATACCAAATTAAATCCAGGAATGTCTAGTTTCCAACACCACCAACGGCACATGATTTCGACATCCGAGGACAGAGTTATAGCCAAAATACTACCACTGGTTAGAATCATACGCGAACAGTTTTCCAGATTGCTAGTTTCTCAAGAAAAATTCATTTGCTCAATCAAACCTCAATATTTTCCAATGAAATTTTTCACACATCAAATACATCCTATAAACATCCAATTCAAGCTGTTAGACCATTAAAATTTGGCCTCAAAATGGCCGAACATTGCAGGGGCAAAATCGGAAGTTTTTGCTTCTTACACCCAATGAAGTTTCTACTAATTACCCACCACTAATGCATCATTATAACCACTAGACCAACAATATAATCACCATCAATCATCAAATCAGCAACAACAACCCAAGTGTGGGAATTCAAAGAGCCCACAATCACATTTTTACACCATACACAAGGTAACCAAATGCATGCATGAACTTAACAAGGTAAGATAGCTTCCAAACTTCAATTTTCCAAGAGTGGATCATCACTTACTTTGGGTTGATGTTCAGCAGAATTTTCGGTCCTCTATTACCCCAGAAAAACCGTGATTTCCAGCCCTTGTTTGCAGCTCAAAATGATCCTCAAGTGTCAAGCTAGGTGTGGTGCAAGTTTGGTTGAATTTGGAGATGATTTGGGGTGGTTTTGAGTGAATTTTGTGAGCAGAAATTTTGAAGCAAATGAGTTAGAGAGAGGAGGGTGTTTGGTCGGCTGTCTTGAGAGGAGGAGAGAGAGTGACCAGACTTTTCTTAAGCTTCCAAGAGAAGGTGAAATAAGTGGTGGAAATTCACCCAAAAGTCAACTCTCATTAGGGGCCGTTTGGTGCGATTACGGCTCGATTTTCTCGCGCGTTTGGTTCTCTAGTGCACTAAACCTCCAAGGCATATATATTCATGTAAATATTATTCACTCTTAATTGTCCCGAAATAAGGGTCTAAAGTCCCTCAATTGAAGTCGCGCGTGTGAAAACGCGTACCGTCAAATTTAACGTTATAACGCGAAACTTCCGAGAAATTCTTATAACGATTGCACTATTAACTATCACTTGAATATTTATTCATAAGATTACCTATTTTAGAACCATTGTATAAGTCTCCAATATTCCAAGCTTATTGTGCTGCTACGCGGATAAAATCTCCAAGCACTATTCACTATTTTTACTAAACGCGCTCCAGGTAATTAATTTTCGAAACGAATCATTTTAAAAATATAACGAAATTATATTACCATGTATTTAGGTCTAATAAGACTAGAAAATATTCCTTGGAAATAAAATCCAATTAAATAATTTATTAAGCCATAAATTAGGCATAAAATGATAGTTTTTGCGAATCCTCACATCCTCTCCCCCTTAAGAAAATTTCGTCCTCGAAATTTACCTTGGTTGATGAACAAGTCTGGATACTTCTCTCTGATTGTCTCTTCAACTTCCCATGTTGCCTCCTCTACTCCATGGTTCTTCCATAAAACTTTCACTAGTGGTATCTGCCTGTTCCTCAATTCCTTCACTTTTCGATCCAGAAGTTTTACCGGTCTCTCCTCATAGGTCAGGGTTTCATCGATCTCAATATTCTCCGGTTGTAAAACATGAGAGGAGTCTGGATGATATTTCTTAAGCATGGACACATGAAACACGTTATGAATACGAGATAAGCTCGGTAGTAATTCCAACTTATAGGCTACATTCCCAACTCGCTGAATAATCTTATAAGGCCCTACAAACCTTGGTTGTAGTTTCTTCCCTTTTCCGGACAACAAACTTGCTTTTAAAGGCGTAATCTTGAGAAATACCATATCTCCAACAGTGAACTCCAAATCCTTCCTCTGATTGTCGGCATAACTTTTTTGTCTACTCTGAGCGGTTTGAATTCTTTGCCGTACCAA